CACTGCCGCCGCTGCCAGAACTCGAACCGGAACCACCCTCGTTCCCTTCTCCGAGGGCACCACCGGAACCTCCGTCCACGGGGCATTCTTCGCCCCGCGGCAGCAGCTTGACGCTCTGCACGCGTCCATACCTGAAACATGCGAAAAAACATTCCATTTTACTTCACTAATTTCAATCAACTCATATAACAAAAATACTAATTGTACGCGATTACTCATGTTTCTTTCCTTTTGTACTTAACATAACTCTGCATGTTAGAATTTAAGAGTCTAGGGATATAGGGATGTTTGATATTCATGAATATTTTGAACCTAGAGTAACTTGCAATTTGGGAATGTATGAGATCTAGGGATGTTTGCAGTGTGGACTTGTTTGTAATCAAGAGTCTTTGAGATTTAGGGATCTAGGGATATTTGGGATCAGAAATATTCGAGATCAAGGGATATTTGAGATTTTGAAACGTTTATGGTCTAGGTATACTTGGAAACCATGATATCTGAACTTATGATGTTTAAGATCTAGGGATATCAGCAGTATAATATATTTTCAACTTTGAGGTACTACAAGTATTGTATACCTAGAGATCTAGGTTACATCCGTCTACATAAATATGTTCAGTCCAACAGCATGTAAGATTCAGGATACTCCTTATTTAGAGATCTGAAGGTTCATTGGACCTAGATATATGTGACAGTTATACGTACACAGCAATTTGACATGTAGAAACATTTATAATTTATGAAATAAACTAGAGTAAACTATAACTGACACAGCATTAAAAATACCATAATACATCATGACATGGAGCCGTTCGAGGCACCCATCTTATATCAAATTATGATTTCATCATATTACAAAACAAAGTAAAACATCTCACTAAGTAAACTATGCAAAGTATGACATGATGAAGCGTCAGACGATAAGAGCGACACGGAAAAAAACTTCCATAGAAGTTTGTCTTTCCTGTCTATTTGTGTACTCAATCTATTCAAATTCACAAATATTAGCTTGACAATTAAATTCGCGATACTTGAAAATCAGAATCGTAAAGAAATCGCTTACTAAAAATATAAAACCTTAAAAAATACCCGTAAAATACGTAAATATATTCAGAGAAATACAGCTTTTTACAAGGTAACGAAATTTACGATATACGTGCATCAGAATGAGCTATAATCCTCGATAATCGAGTTACCGTTACGCGTAGTAGCGTAATGTACTTTTTTTCCGCGGATTCGTTTATTTCAAAGAAACGAAACAGTAGCCGGTTCATTGCGATCGCGAATCGGTAGGCTTAAAGAAAACGCGGTTGTTTTTTACCCCGTAGAGAAGGTAGATATTGAATTTCGACGAAATTAAAGAAAACAAAGAGTCAAAGTTGTTTCTGGCACACCCTATGTACAGAAAGCTCCGGCAGTAGTAGAAACGGACTTACTAGGTGAGGTAGGGTATCCGGCAGGAGTGGGGAGAGAAGCGTCTTGATAGGTCGATCGAAAGAAGAATATCGTGCGCAAGCGCAAAGACTTCAACGGTTTCGGAGTATCTCTGGGAGTTGTTCGTCTAATCTCGCGTGAGTCGCACGTATTTTCTTGTGCGTTCTTCCGAAGAAAGCCTCTGGTTTTTTTTGCTCCTTCCGGACCATACACACGCAGCTTGCAACAATATCAACGGAAAAATGCATATCACAATAATCCGTTGTTTGTTCTTCACGCTCACAGGCGTCAGTATTATAACGCGAGAGAGAATGCGCGAGAATTGGGCGACACCTTGGATTAACTGCGCAAAACGTATTCGTTAGGCCTAGACGAAAATCGACGAGAACGGTGGATTTATTTCGTAAAACACGAGAAATACAAGGGAATACGGTTAACTCGTCCGTAATTATCCGAACGCTTTTTCGTATTTCGTGATATGTCGGATCGTTTCGGAATGGGGCGTGGCCGCGCTCTACCATATGCGTGTGATTCGATGGGCCACGCGAACTCTTTGTTTAACGGTTATATTATCTCTTTCGTTGTCGCTCGTTTTCCTCGAGCATGTCGAAAATTCACCGTGTCGAAACACCTCGGTGTGTAAGAAGAGATTACGTTTTCTAGAACGATTCCTCGATTCGTGAACTCGTTTTCGGACTTTATCTCTCGATTTCCCTTCGACGAAACGAAGATACGAAACGCAGGAGGGAACGCGTTTCAAAATACTATCGCAACGTACGCATCTTCTGGAAGATTGTTCTCACGAAATGGCAGCCGCAACGCTCATGGTGCCGTTCATACGCGATCATTTTCATTCGGCGTCTCGCGATACGCTGCCTTGTCCTGCGGGATCATTTAACGTGTGACGTGCGGAGTGCTCGTTTCGAAATTTCGTTTCTCTAGACGACGAGTGCAATGCTGCTCCATAAAGTGAGTTTAAACCGAAATAAGTGAATACGGACGAGGGATCGTCGTATCGAGAGCGCGTTATTTTGCGAAAGAGAATTGATCGCGATCTGTACGTTGTGGCTGCAAGACTTCCCATCCCACCCCGGGTCGGCTCTCCCCTCTTGTTTTCTTCTCCCACACGTTCTCGCTCGCACGAACACCGAGTACTGAAAAGTCTTGCATACACACACAGACAGACGCCAAACGTCCTTTTCTCTGACACGCATGAGTGAAAGCGGGTGAGAGAGGAGTGACGAGAGGAGAAGAAATAAGATAGAAGGCCAGAAGAGGAAGGGGAAGTCCCAAGTGCCACGGTGGCTGGCTGGCTGGCTGGCAAGCGAGCCACGAACCCCGTACCCATTCCCCTCCACAATTCTCGTTCGTTGCTTGTCGAGGAATTTTACTTCGGCAGACTCGTTCCCAACCTCGATTCCTTCGTTTCTCAACTATGAGCAGTTTCATGTGAAAACATTAGCATGACTTTCCATAAATTTTCAAGTTTCTAGGTCAGAGTCATGTTTCCCGTTTGCGAAAAAGTTTTCGCGAGACGAATCACGAAGACACCGATCATCACGCGAAAAACATGAGCTGTCCGCAATCCGACACCAGAATCTACTGTGTCGAGGAAAATACAGTGAAACAATTACGAGAAATATGCGAGAGTGTGTGATGACGATGTTCTTCGTTTCGATTTTTCAGTGGTAGACGCTCGTTTGACTAATGTTTCGTTCTCGAACGAAATCGATACTGGAACGGTAACCTCTTCCAGTGTTCTATTAAACGAGAATGTGAGACGTAACGAATTATTCGTAAACGTTGACAGTGCTTCGACTACGTGTTTCCACGGAACAAATTCTTCTTTTTTTTTCGAGAAACCGAATCTTATGATCCACCCAAGTGGATGCCATCCACTTGAATGATCGTTTGTCTTTCTACGTTTGAAATGGGAGACGTACAGGAAATCAATACATCGGCCCACGGTTAAGAGTTCCTACCCACCGTGTGTACGTGTAGGTTGTGTGTGTGTATGTGTGGAAATGAAAGAGGGAAAGGGAGACGGAAAAATTCTCTACTCGTACAAATCAATTAACGTGTCACACAGGTAGAATTTTAGTCCCAGGCAAGGAAAAGGAAGCGGACAATTTTCTCAGTTCACGGAAACTCATTGTAAAATTCACCGATCAAACTTTCATCGTAGAAACTTGACGCGAATGTTCCGCGTTACGTAAACGCTGTCTCGAAATTTTTACACTTGCACCACGACATACGGCACTCGTTTCATTTTTTTAAATCGTTCCTGGGTAATACGGATCGTTCACGGCTACGCGTTATAACGTCGAGCATATTACTATCCTTTATAGAGAATATTGTCAATATTTCAGGGTTTTCAATATTCACTCACAACACTCGAAATTTGTGAAATTGGAATTTGCGGATTTGGAAATTTGGTATTTAAGGATTTGAAATTTTTGAAACTTAGAATATACGATATGATAAACCTGTGGATTTTAAAATGTTGACGATATGTGATTGTCCAAGGAGCTTAGGACAATGGTAGTTAATATTATCAATAAAACGTAGATCTACGTGGTTAGGGATTCTTTCCGTTTCTCTGAATCTCGAAATTCCAAGCTCTATGATTGTGTCGATCTAACAACAATACACGGAGGTTCTACGATTCCGCGAAGAACAGCAGGAATAAAAAGGAACACAATGCCGAACGAGCACTGGCAGGATAACAACAAAGAAAGAAGGCTTTTGTTCCTCGGCTTCTTCCCGATCCCCTCTTGCCCTTTCGCGATTCCACCTTGGTTCGTGTCGAATCGAATAAAAAAACTGGATGGTGCTACGAGGACGTTGGTATTGCCGGAAATTTCCTTTGGAGGTTAAGGACCAATAGACACTAACATTTTTCTAACGATTATTGTTCCCACTTTTCTTCTTGATCTTTATTTTTAGAGACAATCGACTTTTATGACCTACGAAGAGTGAACGTTCTTGATTATCGATATTTAACGGCATAAATAGATCATCAAGACTAAAGAGAGTTTATTCTTGATTAAATTTCATATCTAATTTTATCGTTCCAAGTTCATTTATCTTTGTTTAAACTTGAAAACTAACCGAACCTAAGCTAACAATATTATCAGTCAAATTTATTACAATACTTAAACGTATCTGAATATAAGTTAGAAGTTTAAACGAGGATAAACAAACTTACATGATAAAATTACACATACGCAATACCAGCTCTAGCGATATCCTGAGCGCTCTTTCAAAACCTAATCAAAGTCAGCTTACCGATCGTGTAGCTTATGAACCTATACCTCCACTCCCGTTTTCAAAAACGTTGATTATACTTGAAAGAAAGTGGCAACTAACGCTGAGGTTTCAAAAAACGCTAAATGTTTATTGGTACGAATATCATTAGTTTGAAAAAAGGCGTAGAGATCGTCTACGAGGTTGCATTTGTTTAAGAATAATCCCTTTGAAAGGGCGACGCAACGTCTAATTCCATCTACGCGTAGAAGTCTTCCAACAGTACCATTCTAGGCAGACGACACTGACATAAGCCGCAAACGTCGCAAGCAGCAACGTTGGGACGCCTCAACGAGGCCGGCGAGGACGTGGCAACAGCGCTATGACTCAGCTCTCCTCGTTCCAACCGCTTCTCTTGCCCCCTGGCCCCTCTTCAGCTGCCTCTACGCAG